ATTTATGTAGTAGACCATGTATAGACACAGCGTACATTAAGTATTTTAGCACATAACACTCCTCACATGTTGATTTTTGCTGAGGGAGGAAAACCGGAGGACCCGGAGAAAAACCCTCGTGGCAAGGGAGAGAACAACACATCAAACAAACTCAAACTCACATGGAATGGAACACGGACCACAGTGGTGAGAGGCCAGTAGCTTAACCACTAGACCACCCGTGCCACCGACACGACAATTGAAACGACAATTGAAATGAAATCCAACATTTCGACCAGCTCATAACCACCCTGATGAAGACTGGTGGTTTCGGTCAAAACGTTGGATTTCGTTTCAATTGCATGACTTGTCCAGTAATTGACTCAACGATTTTAGGTATAAATGGTAATTGAAATGTCATCTCTTTTGTGATTTACTTACTTTACTCAGGCCCCAAAGAACATGCAAACGTTTAGGGTCTGGAATACTTATAGTGCAAGAAAAGTAAGTTTATTTATTCAATGTGACATATTGATAATGGTAGTATTGCAGTATATCAGTGAAGTTTATATAACAAGAAAACAACAAAGCTTATGATAATACTGAAAATAGACTTACTTTTTGCAGCTCAGCACACTTTTCATAGTACAACCTTCCTTGAATATTGATAGTAAGTACAATTCATCCATGATTACATGAATATCATTTCTGAAATACAATCATGGTAAAACTGCTGTAAATATAATTGATCTAAATACCACACTCATTATGACACAATAAAAGCTGCTTGCTGCTTAAAATTCATGCAATATATTTTAATTACTTTAATTATTTTAATAATTCACATTGTTGATGGTACATTATTTCTTTCTTACCGATGTGCAAACTGCAAATACTCCTGGATTTCCTCCTCAGTGTAAATATATCCAAATGGGTTGTTGGGGTTAACAAGCAAAAGAGCACGGATTTTTATACCCTTAATTAAAATCAAATTTACATTAAAATAAGTGTCTTTTTTCCAAATGTTCTGAGAAATCTTGGCCAATTTGAGGAAGCCAGGAAGTATGCTGAGAGAGCAGTGAAGGTCAGGAAGGAAGTTTATGGTGACAAACATCCATCTTTGGTTGATGTGCTTACCAACCTTGGGTTAACGTTAAAGAATCTAAATAAACATGACCAAGCACAAAAGGTATTAATGAGAATATTAATGTCAGAGCTTCTTCTCATATCAAACAGATTTATTTATGTTCAACACATACATGA